GATGATGACCGATGGTGATGATGAGGAGGAGGAGGACGAGGAGGAGGAGGAGGAGGAGGAGAAGGAGGAGGGGGAGGAGGCCTGGCGGAGACGGAGTCGGAGGATGAGGAGGAATGGAAGGATGATGAATTTGAGACCCTCTCTCCCCCGTCCATCCCTCCTTCCCTGCCCCATCTCCCCGTCTCCAGGGATCTCCACAGACTTACTTCCCTGGTTCTCTGCATGTTCCTTGGGTGTTAGATGCTGTCACGGGTTCCTAGAGGCATCCAGAGGTCTTCAGAAACCCATGCCGGTCCAAACCGTTGAACACGTGGACCACCCCCGACCTCATAGAGATGGAGAGGGCAGTCCAGGACCCGAGGGTTGGAAGTGCAATTCTGCAGAGGAGGAGAAACAGAAATTGGAGGCGCATGAGGATCAGGACGAGGATGCAAACGTGCAGAGCGAAGGGAAGGGGATTGAAGGGGGGACGCGTGATGATGGTGATGATGCTGACGACGGTGATGATGATGGTACGGTTGGTGATGATGATGGCGAGGAGGATGATGGTGATGCTGTTGTTGTTGATGATGGTTTTGCTGCTGATGATGATGATGATGATGATGATGGTGATGATGATGATGATGCGGATCACGGTGCTGATGATGATGCTGATGATGATGATGATGATGACGATGATGATGATGATGATGATGATGATGATGATGATGATGATGATGTGGTTGATGATGGTGATACCGATGCGGATGATGATGATGACTATAATGATGCTGATACTTTGGCGATGATGATGATATGGTGATGCGGCTGATGGTGATGATGAGGATTATGGTGATGATGATGATGATGAGGATGATGCGGATGATGATGAGGACGGGCGGAGGAGAAGGAGGAGGATGACTATGTGGAGGAGGAAGAAGCTAAGGATGATGATGAAGAGGAGGAGGAGGAGGAGAAAGTGGAGGCGTAGGAGGAGTAAGAGGAGGGGGAGGAGGAGGAGGAGGAGGAGGAGGAGGAGGAGGAGGAGTGGGAGGGGGAGGGGGACAAGCTAGGTGCGCTCGCGTCATATCTGACGTCCTACCCCTCCCTCCCATCCCTTACCATGGCGCTGATTTTCTCTATCCGCGGACGCGTGTCGTAGCGGACTTGTGGCTCCGCGCGCGCGTGCGTAGTGGGTGGTGGTGCGCGTGCGTGCGTGCGTGCGTGCGTGTGTGCGTGCGTGCGTGGTGGTGGTGGTGGTGTGGTGGTGGTGGTGGTGGTGGTGGTGTGGTGGTGGTGCTGGTGCTGGTGGTGGTTGGTGGTGGTGGTGGTGGTGGTGGTGGTGGTGGTGGTGGTGGTGGTGGTGGTGGTGGTGGTGCGGCGCGGTGGTGGCGGGCGGATGGGCGCGCGAGAAAGAGGCCCGCGCTGGGGCGAGAACGCCATCCTGAACGACGGAGGCCAAACACCGATCCGAAAATGAGGCCCACGCTGCAGCGGGAGCACGATTCGGAACGATTCGGGAGCAGAAATGAGGCCGGCGCCTCAGCGAGAGCAGCATTTTGAAAAAAAACAAGCGAAAACCCGTTTCCCGGGAATCCTGTGTGTAAAAAAACAATACGCGGGGGGGTGTCGGATATCTTCGGGACGCCATCAGGGGAAGTGGGAGAGTATTTTCATATTGTGTAATTGTGGAGGAGGAGGAGGAGGAGGAGGAGGAGGAGGAGGAGGAGGAGGAGGAGGGGGAGGGGGAGGGGGGAGGGGGAGGGGGAGGAGGAGGAGGAGGAGGAGGAGGAGGAGGAGGAGGAGGAGGAGGAGGAGGAGGAAATGAGGGGGGGAACATGGAGGAGTACGATTGGCAATTGGCAAAGAAGTGCCGAGAGGGAAGAAGGAGGAGAGGCAGGAGGCGGGGGGGTTAGGGTTGGGAGAGGGAGATGCGGAAACCTGGAGGGAGAGCGGGAGAAATTCAGCGGGCGCTGGATTCGGTCTTAGAGAGCAGATCTATTGTTTCTTTCGATGTAATTGGTCCGGAGTCCAGGTCCAGTTGCCCTCGGGACCCCTAGAGACGCGATGTACCGTGTTCTCAATCGAGGGTCTCCGGAAGTCCCGACATGATCCGACCCGTCCCCCAGGCCAGCTTCTCGTCTCGAGTCTTGTTTCGATTGTCCTGGGACCCAGCGAGGGCTCCCAGAGGTCGAAGCCGGACAACAACTTTCTGTTCTTTTCGGATGCGTTCCCGGAGGTTTGGGGAGGGGGAGGGGGGATGGGCTCCTTCTGCACGCAGCCGTTTTTCGGCTCGAGAGTTTCGAGCGGCCCGGTCGCCAACTCGGCTGCGCCGTCTCCGGAGATGATCTACATCTTCCAGGGCATGCTGGTGCCTCCGGCATCGTCCCGCCGCCGACCCTCGCAGAAGAACAGTCGTCATGAGCGCACGGCGTGCGTCGGCCCGAGGACGCCGTCGTCGCAACTATCGTCGATCGACGGAGCAGAGGGATGCAACAACGTAAACACAATCTTTCGGAGGTCCTCGCAAATCTCTTGGATCGACGTTGGACCCCCCTGGCTGCGCCGTCGGCGCCGCCCTTGGCGCGCCCCAGCCCAGCACTGTTGGCGACTGTACGAGGGGAGCACAAGAGGCTATAGCTACTGTGGCCTCCCGAATGAGGCCGCAGTAGCTGGGGTCGGAGCATCGCAAATGCATCGGCGACGTGGCGCGATCTGGACCGGGTTCTTCTCCATCCCGCCGTCGCCGCTTCTCGCCAGTGCATCGGCGAGAAGGCGCGATGCTCCGACCCCATCTGCTCATATCCCGTTCTGGAGGCTGACACCTCGTGCCCCCTGGCTTGGGAGAGCTGGAACATGTGATACGGTATTGCGCGCCGTGTAAGTGTTTCTCTCCTGGGCGTCGGCCTCAGCCTTGGCCAGTCTTGAGTAGTGTTCCCTTTTCTCCGCGCCGTTTTTTCCCCATCCTCTGTGTGGCGAACATTGGAGAAATACTCAGCAAATTACAACATGTGCCGCATCTGCCGGCTTGAGGCAGTCTTGGGTCGCTGTGAGGCCGTTATGGGGCGGAGGATAAGGATGATGAGGATGATGGTGGTGTTGATGATTGCTGTGGTGGTGGTACTGCAACAGCATGCCCCTCTTGCCGCCGCGGCTGGCTGACGACGGCGATGTCGAGTCGCCTCGACGCGACGCGGCGAAGGCATCGCCGAGAGCGCTCAGGGTCAAAATGCCCTCGGGGCAGCTGAACTCTCGACCTCTACTTGACCTTCCGCCCTCATTCATTCGGAGCTGGGGCCCCCGATAGAGGTCCCTGAAGGCTCGCATGGTTCACTTCGCCCGGCCCGGTCTAGACCGTGCGGTTCGGCCGGTCGGGTCAGATATATTGGCGCGGTGCGGTTCGGCCGGTCGGTGTCGCGGAGCGGTTCGATTCGGTCGGTTCGGTTTTAGTCTTGGTTTCCGGGTTGGTTCGCTGCCATCATGTGATGATAACGGTGATGTTGGTGATGATGGTGATGCTGTTGTCGGTGGTGGTGATGTCGATGATCGATGATGGTGATGTTGAGAATGAGTAGACATGTATGTGGCACTTTGTATTCCCGAGGGCTTCTGCAAAACAGCAAGTGGTCACCTCCCGGGCTGCCGAGTAGACTGACGCCCGACGAGTGGACGGCTCTCGTGCCTGCGCAGCACTGTGTGGCGACGCGTCGAGCGCCATCATAATACCGTAGCATTTGACATCTCTCGTCTGTACAGTCAACCCGCATAGTAAGGGCGAGCGATTTTCCAAGGTTCGAAGAAGAAACACACGCCATACACCGAAACTTTTGGCTCTCCCCGCGGATTTCTTGGATCCGCACTGGGCCCTCCTGGCGGCGCCTCCGGCACCGCCCCTGGCGCGCTCCGCGCGCCAGGGAAGGGACTCAAGTGCAGATCCAAGAAATACGCTCGGAGCGCCAAAAGTTTATGGTTATGTCGTCTTTTCTTCTCCTAAAAGGTTACCTATACATTCTTGCTCCCTTCGGCTTACCCCTGGCAACTCTCGTTTGCCAGCCCCGCTCGCAGAATGTCAACATGGCTTTCCAAGGCCCTTATCCATGGTATGTGGGTTGGCTGTATTCTAGGAGGGGCTCTCATTGTGCCTGCCTGGACCGTCTTCGGGCTGTCCTCGGCTGCCGTACAGTCGACTTCGGGCCCTCTTTTGACCCTCTCGGGCCGTCTTGGGGCTCTCTTGGGCCCTCCTGGTGCCGTCTTGGTATGCTTGGGGCCACTCTCGGCCGTCTTAGGAAGTCTTTGGGGGGCTGCCTGGCCCTCTTGGGCTATCTTGGAGCCCACTTGGGCCTCCCCGTGCCCTCCTTGGGCTGCTTGGAGCTCTCTTGGGGCTGTCTCCGGCCGTCCGCGGGGCTTCTTGGGGCCCTCGTTGGGCTCTTCGGCATCTCTTTGGCTCCCTCGAGTCCCTCGCGGGACCATTGTGGGCCGAGGGGCCCTGGAGAGCCCACAGATGCAAGCCCAACGGAATGGCCAGGATGTTGACAGATGTATCTCAGCTTGAGTGTCTCTTGGCCTTGTCTTTGGTGTCATGGGTGCCTCCTCTGAGGCGTCTTCGGAGCTTCCAAGGCCTTTTGGAGGCTGTTGGGTGTCTTTTGAGATCATGCTAGACCATCTTGCCTCTTGTGACGATTTCCTTCCCGGGCCGTCCTGGACGCCTTTGAGCTTGTCGGAGAGCCCCAGGGGATTGTCAGGCCGCTCAGAGAGCCTCAGGAGGGGGGACTCATGCACGCCAGCGAAGCGCAGTGCGTCGGTGGGGGGGGTCGCGGCCCTCACAAGACGGACACCTCCAACCAAGCAGCAGTTGGCATTTTACCACGCTTCAGGGTGCCCAGGGGGCACGATGGCGGATAACGGGAATATGCTCCCTCCCGGGGCTGTTGTGCAAGGCGTGCGGGGACCTGTGCGGCAAGATCCACTGCGAGCCATGCAGAGAGGCCTGCTTCGAGGCCAGCAGGTGCGTGCGGCAGTTCATGGGCAGGCCCGCGAGCGGCGAACATATCCGCATTCATGCCCTCGCGGTCTGCGTGCGGTGGCGCGATCTCGTGGATACGCCACTCCGTTGATACGCTCTGTCGGCGTCTGCCCTGCATCCGTGGTGTCGCGGCAGAGGAGGCCAGACCGCGAGGCCGTGGATATGGATATGTTTCCCGTCCACGAGAGGCCACTGAGCACCTATCTCGTGTACGCTTGGATTATCAGTGGGCTTGAGATCTACTTTTGCATCGGACCGCCTGACAAGACGTGCGAGTTCCCCGAGAAGTCAGGTGCTTTCGTCTCCCTTGATGGGTGGCGGGGTATCCAGATGATGTTCGCCATTCTGAACATTGTTTTTGCGCCATATATGCAGATCAAGGTCTGGAATTTTATTATGGAGGAGGTCAAGCGAGGGGGGGCCCCCATCGACAAGAAGACGGGGAAACAGGTCGTCCCCAAGAAGGATGTCCAGAACGCGTTCAAGAAGGTCTTCTGCGAGGATTTTGGTGTGCTTTTCTATTTCATCTCGAAGAGGGAAGGACGGCCTAAGCATAAGCTCTTGGAGGTTCGCGCAGATTTCTTGGATCGGTCGGTGCTGGACCCCTCTGGTTGCGATTTTGGCGCCGCCCCTGGCGCGCGGAGCGCGCCAGGGAGGGGGAACCCAGCGCCGATCCAAGATGTCCGCGCGGAACTCCGAACGTTCATGTTTATGCAGTTGTTTTCTTCTTCTATCATCGCGATCATCCTGTCGGTGATCTGGTCCATGAAAGGCCAGAAGTGGGCCGGTGGCATCCTCTGGGGCAGCGAGCTGAAGGGGGACTGCAGCATCGACAGCCCAGCGTACCTGGGCATGGCGATGTTCAGCCTGGCGTTCGTGTACACCTTCTGCTGGTACTGCTGCCCCTGCTGCGCGAGGGCGATCGAGATGGAGAAGCAGGAGGAAGGCTACTACGACTACGAGCACGGAAGCGGTTCCGATTCCAGCGGCGAGTAGGAGGGCGGTTGAGATTTGCGTGCGCGGGCTGCTCGCTCCTGGCCATACGTTAAGGCGGTTTGATGCACCATCTGCGCTCTCTTGGACGCATGCCTCTTTACTGTGAGTCGCGTGATCGCGAAGTGTCGCGGTCGTGCTCACTGTGGCCTGGGTCACCTGGTACTGGGGCAATTTATTTTGTCCTGCCACTGTACCCTGTAAGTATGACCTCGCCCCAGTGAGTTCTTGGGCGCACTAATTGTTTATTCAAGGCATTTTGCGTTCGCCGCTCGCCCTTGCGAGGTCTCGACCGGGCTGCACTTGTGCCGAGCGAAGTCCAATACGGCCCCACAGGAGGCCCCAAGCAGCTCCAAGCCAGGTCAATTTGGCCCAGGGACGGCCCAAGAGGCCTCCCAAGTGGGCCGAGGAAGGGCCCCAGGGGGAGTTACCAGACAGCCCAGGCGAGAGCGTCCTCGTGTTGGGCAGGAACCCTGTCCAAGCATCATTCGTTCCAGGCCTCAGTTGAGGTTGATTTAAGTCCCGCTTTGGGTTTTACACCTTGGGTTGATACTTTTCTTCCCAACCATCCTGCGGTGTTGGGTTCTCGCTCTCCTCTCTCTCCTCTCCTCTCCTCTCCTCCTCTCCTCTCCTCTCCTCTCCTCTCCTCCTCCTCCTCCTCCTCCTCCTCCTCCTCCTCCTCCTCCTCCTCCTCCTCCTCCTCCTCCTCTCTCCTCTTTCCTCGTCCGATCCCTGCCTCTGCCCTCCGCACCAGGCAACCATTTCGTCACGTCCCCGACACGTTTCATGGCCCCATAATGAGCCTAACCGAGGGCGCAACTACCAGCGCTCGCATGCGCCCACCGCACCCATTTTGGCACACCCCTCACACCCTTCATGGCCCCATATGGGGGCCCCACCGGATGCCCAAATACCAGCGCTCGCGTGCGCCCACCGCACCCGCTTTTTGGCACACCCCTCACACTCTTCGTGGCCCCATAGGGAGCCCCACCGAAGGCCCGAATGCCAGCGCTCGCGTGCGCCCACTGCACCCATTTTGGCACACCCCTCACACTCTTCGTGGCCCCGTAGGGAGCTCAACGGAATGCGGTGCATACAATGACGGTACCCACATCTACATATGGTTGGGTTTTTCGCCAGGCTAATCTGAATTCGTCCACACATGAGGCCCACAGCGCACCCTAAATGGATCAGTAATGCCAATGATGTGGCATCCCACGGGCGAGCTGCTCTCTATAGTTTTGTACGGATCGGATTTGTCGATGAAGCCGGGGCCAAACAAAGTGGTCTCTGGGGCCCAAAGGCGTCCATTTATGATGCCAAGAGGCCCAGGGACATGCCAACACTGAGTGGGAATTGGTTCAGGAAAGGGTGTTGAATCATCTGGGACGCGCCATTTTGGGCGTCTTGGGCCGATCTGTTGGCGTCTCGGGGCCCTCTCGGACCGTCTTGGGGGCCTCGTGTGTCCATCTTGGCCCGTCTTGGGGCCTTTTTGGGCCCGAACAATTCATGCGTGAATCCGCGGGGGAGCCCAGGGGAACCGCGGCACGTCCTGCCACTTTTCGGAATTCGGGGTCAGGGCTCCTTAAACAGACTCCTCAGGAGTGAGGTCTGAGGCTCCATGGATTTGGCAATGGATCTGGGGACACGCCCACTCCGTACCCAGAGACACGTTGGCGGATGTATATAGGTTTCAGATGTGTGGTGCAATCTATGTGGTGCAATTCACTTTGACCGTCTTGAAGCTGTCCTCTCTACTGCTCGTGCAAACATCCCACCCTCCCACCCGCAACTTGGTCGCAGGACTTCTTAAGACAAGACCGTGACGGTAGGTACCACATGGCACTTGGCCACGACACCGACGCCGACGACGACAGCGACAACGACGCCGACGGCGCCACAGGCACCGACTACGAGGACACCGCCGACGTCGACGTCGACGAAGACGACGACGACGCCGACGCCGACGACGACGACGAAGACGACGACGACGTCGCCAACGGAGACGACGACGAGGGAGGAAAAAAAACGACGACGGCGACAACGACGACAACGACGATGGAGGAGGGAAGACGGCGACGACGCGAACGACGAAGAAGGAGGACGGACGACGACGCCGACGACGACAGCGACGAGGGAGGAGGGAAGACGACGACGACGACGACAACGACGACGAAGACGACGACGACGGCGACGAAATAGGAGGGACGACGACGAGACGCCGACGACGGACGACGACGACGACGACGAGGGAGGAGGATAACGACGAGGGAGGAGGGAAGACGACGACGACGACGACAACGACGACGACGACGGCGACGAAATAGGAGGGACAACGACGAGACGCCGACGAAGACGACGAGGGAGGAAGGACGACCACGGCGACAACGACGACGGAAGCGACGACGACGCCAAGACGACGACGACGACCACGAGAAAAGACAGAGGACGACGTAGGCGACGACGATGACGACGCGGGAGGAGGGAGGACGGCGACGACGACGACGACGACGCAAGAGCGCGCGCGCACGCTTTTGTTGAAAATCCGTGTTGCGAAACCCTGGGTGTTTGTAGGTTTTTTGGAGGCACGATTTTGAAATCCTTCCGAAACCGATGGGTTTTGAAGGTTTTCGGCATATGCCCGCGACGACGCGCGCGTCTGCACTTCGTCCCGTTTTTCGCAGAGGATTCTCGCGACGGCACACGCGCAAGGGCGTTCGACAGATTTCGACATGCGCGCGCGAAGCCCGTTTGGTAGCGTTTGGTGAAAATCTTGAGAAAAAACAACCTATGGTTTCCCGAAGATTTCGCAAGAGCTCGCGCGGAAGCTTCTTTAGCAAATCAGTGTTGCGAAACCATGTGTTCTTGCATGTTTTTTGGAAACTCGATTGCGAAATCCTTCCGGCTCCGAAGGTTTTTGGAGGATTTCGGCATGCGCGCGCGACGGCGCGCGCGTGTGCATTTCGTCTCATTTGTTGCAAGGGATTATTGAACAAGTGCTATGTTAGAACCAACAAAATGTCATCGCATAGTTGTTTTTTCTCTCAAAGGAACCTCAGGGGGGGAAACCGGCCTAGCTGGGATGGTATGATTTCAGTTTTAAGATGGACGAGTGTGCAGAAAATATATGAAATCATACTATCCGAGGGGGAACCGATAAGTCCGGGGGGGGGGGGGTAGAGTCTATTTTCCTTTTAGAAAGAGAATTAATTTCTGTTCGCAATGAGTTGTCCACTCCACTGCTCGCGCAAACATCCCACCCCTCCACCCGCAACTTGGTTTGCAAAATCTCTCAAGACCGTGACGGTGCGTACCACATGGCACTTGGCAACAACAGCGACGCCGACGACGACAGACACAACGACTATGACGACGCCGCCGACAACGACTACGACGACACCGACGACGTCCCCAACGACTTCGACGACGCCGACAACGACGACGACGACGACACCGACGACGACGACGACGACGACGACACCGACGCCGACGACGACGACGATGACAACGACGACGATGACGACGCCGACGACGACGATAACGACGACACCGACGACGACGACGTCAACGACGCCAACGACGACGACGACGACGGCGGCGACGACGACGACGACGCCGACGTCGACGACGACGAAGACGACAACGACGCCGACGCCGACGACGACGACGTAGACGACGACGTCGCCAACGAAGACAACGAGGAAGGAGGGAGGACGACGACGGCGACCACGACGACAACGACGAGGGAGGAGGGAGGACGGCGACGACGCGAACGACGAAGAAGGAGGAAGGACGGCGACGCCGACGACGGCAACGACGAGGGAGGAGGGAACGACGACGACAACGACGACGACGACGGCGACGAAATAGGAGGGACGACGACGAGACGCCGACGACGGACGACGACGACGACGAGAGAGGAGGAGGAAGGACGACCACGGCGACAACGACGACGGAAACGACCACGACGCCAAAGAGGACGACGACGACGAACACGAGGAAAGACAGAGGACGACGTAGGCGACGACGACGACGACAACGACGCGGGAGAAGGGAGGATGGCGACGACGACGACGACGCAAGAGCGCGCGCGCACGCTTTTGTTGAAAATCCGTGTTGCGAACATTTTTGTTTTTGTAGGTTTTTTGGACGCACGATTTTGAAATCCTTCCGGAACCGATGGGTTTTGAAGGTTTTCGGCGTACGCCCGCGACGACGCGCGCGCTTGCACTTCGTCCCATTTGTTGCAGGGATTTCCGCGACGGTACACGCGCAAGGGCGTTCGACAGATTTCGACATGCGCGCGCGCGACGCCCGTTTGGTAGCGTTTTGTGAAAATCTTGAAAACCTATGGTTTCCTGAAGATTTCGTGAGAGCTTTCGCGGAAGTTGTTTTGGCAACTCTGTGTTGCGAAACCCTGTGTTTTTGTATGTTTGGTTTTGTTTTTCTTTTTTTGTTTTGGGAACTCGATTGCGAGATCTTTCCCGCACCGAAGGTTTTTGAAGGATTTCGGCATGCGCGCGCGACGGGGCGCGCGTGTTCACTTCGTCCCGTTTTTTTTTTTTTTTTTTTTTTTTTTTACAAGGGATTCGTGAAACAGTACGATGTTAAATCAAAATGTCACCGCATAGTGTTCTTTACCAGGGAACCTCAGGGGGGGAGCCCGGCCTGGCCAGGATGGTATGATTTCATATTTAGGATGGACGAGTGGTCAGAATCATATACGATTTACATACCCGAAAGTGGAGCTGATAAGGCGGGGGGGATAGTCTATTCTTTTTTAGAAAGGAGAATTCTCTCTGCTGAACTTGAAGTCGTCATCTCCTCTGCTCGCGCAAACATCCCACCCGCCCACCCGCAACTTGGTTTGCAAAACTTGTTAAGACCGATTACGACGACACCGACGACAACGACTAGGACGACATCGGCGACGTCTCCGACGACTT